GAATCCGAACGTGAGGATTTTTGACGTCTTCGACTTTTCTTCTTGTGGTCTCCGTGATCGCTGTCCCTCCGTTTGTTACCAACTTTTTCGCTTTCTTTTCTCTCTGGTTTTTCGGATTTTTTCGACGTTTCGTTTCCCCGTTTACCCTTTTCTTCTGATTCTTCTTCAGTCTTGGAATTTTTCTCAACGTGTGAGCAATCCGAGTTTTTATCTTGCGCATCGCAATTTTTATCCGCATTGTCGGTTGGTGTTTTTTTGTCATCGTTTGGCTTTTCGGTAAGATTTCTCGATTCCGCGTGATTCGATTCGGTGGGTAAATCTAATTCTTCGCTTAAACGACGTTTTTCCTTGAATTGCTCTATTAGTTTTTTCGTGTGAGCTTTTCTTTTTTCCATAAATTTTAAAACGTCTGCCGCATTTTTCCCCTCCACGTTCGATTCGCTTTGACGTCCAATACCTTCCTCTAAACTTGCCCAAATATCTTCGTCGACGCATTTACGCTCTGATGTTTCCTCTCCCTCCTCTACCGTTTTGACTCTTTTACTTTCAAAATAATCAACGTTTTCCGCGGTTTGCTTTTCTTCTTCTCCTTTCGTGAAATCTTCTTGTTTTTTGTCTTGTGAATTTTGGTGTCCTACCAAAGATTGTACATTTTCTTCAACTTCTTCTTCTTGAAATTTTTGTTTAGAACTTTCTTTGGGTTCCACTTGCAATCTGTATTCTTCAAATGAATCATTTTTGCTTTGAATCACGTTAACTAAATTTTCATTAAAATTTTGATTTTCGGAATCGTAATTTTGTATTTCTTGCGTGAAACTCTCTTCGTTGATATTTTTCAACGAAACTTTAGATACTTCATCGCTTTCATCATTTTTTTCTTCAACCTCTTCGGTAAATTTACGGGGTTTTTTCACGCTTTCCCTCTTTCCCTCCAAATTTTCATTGTTCCTGTTGTCCCTTTTGTCATTTCTATCAAATTCGTCATCTTTTTTATTTCCTCTCCGACCGTAATCGTTTTTGTCATATTCATCTGAACTTTTTGAACGATTTCTAAATCTTCCTTGACGATTAGCATAATAAGAAGGAGGTTCTTCTCTAAATCTTCGTCTCTCGCCTTGATTCGATCGACGTTCCGCACGCTCCTTTGCTCGTTTTTCAATGTACTCCTGAATTTTTTTATCTCTTTCCATGTGCCTTTTTTTTCTTTCTTCTTCTCTACGTTTAATCTCTTCTTCTCTTTTTTTCTTTTCTATTTCTTTTTGCTAAAAAAAAAAATTGTATGAATTGTTAAATGCATAATAAATTTTTAAAACGGTCAAATTCTTTCGTTACCTCATATTCAGATAATTTTATTGTTCTACTTAATTCCCGTTTCCAATGAGGGGGAGTATAACTTCTGGATCTGCTTCTCGAGGGAGTTCTATAACGAAAAGTTCCCCTTCCTTTAATCACTCTTCCACTACGCGTGTGACCTCTGATTCTAGGAGGTCTTGGCCGACGTTTTTCTTTATTCTCATTTTCGTTTTTTTTATTATCACCGCGATATAAGAATCTAATTAAACATGAAAAAATATTTAATATATAATAAATCACATTTATAAAAAAAATTAAATTCTGATCAAACTTTAAATTAAAACTTAATCACCTATTAGAAGGCACATCAGGAATTTCAGAAGGATCAATTTTAGTAACGCTGACTAGTGGATGCCTTTCTTGTTCTTCATCTTCTGCCACTTCGCCTTCCTCCATCTCTTTGGAATTTTTTTTCCTGTTTTTAATTAATAATAATAATTTAAGTATAAAACAATAATAATTTAATATAAAAAAAATTCTAAAAGTTTTAGTTGGTTTTTTTTTTTTTAAGAAATCATTATCATAATTTTACCAATTCGATTACATTCTAAATCTATAAAATAATATTGGATAAATTTATTACAGACCTATCTGCTTTTTTAAGCTTTTTATTTTTTTTTTTCTTTTCTTTTTTTTCTTTCCTTTTTTCTCGATTGCTCCCATCTGAAGCTTCACTTTCACTCGATGAAGAAGATTCAGATGAAACGGAAGAACTTTTCGAAGAATCTGATGAAGAGAAATGCTTCCCTTTGTCTCTTTTACTTTTTTCTAGAAAAGTAATAATCATTTATAATATGTATCAAACTTCAAGTTAACATTTAAAAATTATAGGATTTAATTTTAAATATAAAATAATTCAATACCTTTTGCCTTAAGTTTAAGAACAAGTTCGCCGCAGTTGATTATCTTGGCATCTTGTAAAGGACGAAAGAGTCGATCCACTGGTAGATTCTCAATATGTGAAATTATTTCTGCTCCAGAAATTACACGGCCGAACACAACGTGAACTCTAAATATGAAAAAACATTTTAATAGATTCATTTTGATTCTTAAAAAAATTTTTTTAAATGTTTCATTTTTCAACTTACCCATCCAAATGTGGTGCTGGTTGAGTAGTTCTGTCAACAACAAAATATGATTAGGGTAATTCCAGAGGTCAGAGCTGAGCTGCTGGCCACATCTAATGTCTCAACATCTCCACACTAATATACGAAATAAAATTAATTAAGGGAACAAAAAGGACATTAATTCCTTTACTATGAAAATACAATTTTATTTATTATTTCTTGGTACTCTTAAAAACTGACTTCTTTTTTTTTTTTTTCCCGAATTTATTTAGGATGCCTTACATAATTATTAGTCTTCAACTCCTAAGTCTTTATTATACAAATCCAGTGGTACAAGAAACGGTAAAAGGCTAAATAATTTATATAAGATCATGATTTAGTTAAACATTTCTCAATAATTTATTTATAGCATAGTAAAATTTATTATTGAACTGCTTGACTATTTAAAAGAGTAAATAGTTTCTGTTGCTCAAAAAGCATTCTGAAAAATAAATTCATTTTCCATTTCAGTATTTTAAGAACTTATCCATGAAAATATTTTAAAACTATATTTCATATTATAAGCCAAATAAAAAAAAGTATCATTAAATTGGAATTTTAATCGAAACTGAAAAAAAAAAAAAAACGAGTAATTTATTTTCCTTTAAATTATTAGCCTGAATTTGTAGAATTATTAGATAGCCAAGTGACGATAATTTGTTATCAGTAAATTATATTCCTTAAATTCATTCCAAGTCTATTTTATAAGCTCAGATTGTTTTTTTAAATGATACAAGTACTTCTTTTTTACTCTAAATAAATAAAAATTTTTAAAAAAAACTTATTTTTTCTTCTGTCATCTACAAACTTACATAAAAAACTGAGAACCATTTGTATCTTTTCCCCTGTTGGCCATTGACAAAAGGAATGGAGAATCATGTTTTAAATCAAACTGCTCATCTAAAAAAAAAATTAAGATATGAATAAGTTTAGAGCTAGAAATTAAAATATTGGTGATCACTGATAAAATTTTATTAAAATTTGCCTGAAAAAGTGCCGCCGTAAATACATTCTCCTCCAGTACCATTACCGGCTGAAAAATCACCCCCCTGTATCATAAAATCTTTGACGACACGATGAAAAATAACATTTTTATAATGTAAAGGTTTATTTGTAACTTTTCCTAAACCTTTTTCTCCCGTGCATAAAAATCTAAAGTTTTCACAAGTTTTTGGACTGATATCGGCAAATAACTCGAATACTACACGACCCAGTGCCAAACCCCCAACTTCGACATCGAAAAAACACCGAGGCCGTAAATTTTTATTTACGGTCATTTTGTTGTCAAGTTAAATATTTTCAATAAAATGTTAGTTTTTTTAACTGAATAAAGTTAAATTCAATTTAATTCCTTGTTACAAATAAAACGAATACAATACAGAAATACAGAATCCAAAAAATTATTACCAACTGTAGGAAATAATAAAATGATAAATAAGGCCCTGAAAAATTAATACTATTCAACAGCATATACAACCGTAATGTCGGTTAAAAAATCAAAATTTAAAACCTATTTCCGAATAATAATTGTTGAAAAAGAAATTTTTTCTTATTTTATTCACATAAATTATTATATAATATCAGTGTAAAATTTAACCATCGCAAATAATAATAATAATAAAAGTATAATTCAATAACTCAGATAACGTAGTTAAATGTTATCCCATAATTAAATTTTTTTTTTTTAAATTTAAATAAAATGGTCTTAAATGAACAAAAATAAAAAATAAATAATTATAATAATTATTAATTTTACTACTAAAAATAATAATCTACCTCAAAATTTTTTATAAAAATTATTGCAGTTAAATATATTTTATTCATTTTATCCATAACTAAATAAATTTTGTATTATTAATGAAATTCCCCATTCGTTTATAATTGAAAATTATTTAATTAAATATAAATAATTTTATATATTAATAATATATGACTAGATTTATTAATTTTTTTTTTTATATTACAAATTTTTAAAAATATTGTCAAGATTTAGAAAAAAGAAAGAAAGAAAAAAATTAGGAATGTTTTATTATTCATACCAATACGGATGAACATTTATTTATTTATTTTCATTTTTTTTAATTTAATCCTTTATTAACAAAAAATATATTTAATAATAAAAAAAAAAAACATAAATAATTACTACGATTAATTAATTAATTAATATGTTGTACTAACTTTTGCCATTTATGAGGCTGGGTAAGAAACAAAAAAAAAAAAATTGCAATTAAAGAATAAAATATTTTTAACTGCATATTATTTATATATAAATATATATTTAAAAATTTTATTTGTTTTTTTTTTTTTTGTAAAAATCTGTTGTGTTATTTTTATATTTATTATTTTTTCTAACAAATATACTTATTTAATAACTAAAAATAAAAGTTATACAGTTACATAACAATAATGTTTTCCACGGTGAAAAAAAAAAAAAAAAAAAAACATTCTAACAGTCTTCTAAAAACTAAATTTCAATTAAAACCGAATACAAACAGAAAAAATATATCAGGAGTTAATAATAATAATAATAAGAGGTATTTTTAAAATATTTTAAACTGTTATTCATCTAAGTTACTTTAAATTTTTATAAACAAACATTTCATTCGTTACCACATATTGAAAAAAATAAAAAATAAAATAAATTAATTTTATAATTTCTGGAGTATACTTGACAATCAATTATAATCTTCGTTAATTCAATTTAAATAATTTCATGTGATAAAAAATGCACACAATTTCCCATATAGCTTCAATACATTCCCTGAAATAAAATAAAATATTATGTATATGGCAAAATTGATATTTAAATAACCCTTGAATAAAAACTATTATTATTATTATCAAATCAAAAATCTAAAATAGAAAATCTGTAAATAATAAAATAATAATGTTAAACATTTTCAATTAAATTAAAATAATTGAGTGAAACAAATAAAAAAAAAAAAAAAGTATAAATGAAAGAAGGATAAAATGTCAATATTCTCCAGAAAACGATAATAATAATAATAATTAATGTGGTTTTTTAAATTTAAATTAAATTTTTTTTTTTTTAATATAAATGCGACAGAAGTTAGTACTCCATAAACAAAATTTATAAATTTATATTAAATTTCACGTGGAACTCATTTAATCAATCAATAATAATTAAAATACAACAAATTAACTGAAAACAAACAATTATTATTTTAAAAAAAAAAAATTTAATTTAATTTTAATTGACTCTTACTGATTTTAATAATAATAATAATAATAATAATAATAATAAACTATTTGAATTATAAAAAAAAAAAAAATTAATTGACAAGGGTAAATAATTTTTCCCTTGAGATATTTCAAATAAAAAAAAAAAAAAAAAATTTTATAAAACAAAAAAACCTCCTTTGAATTTATAAATTTAAATTTACATTAAAACCTTTTGTTTTTAACCAAAACGATTTTTTTAAAATTAATTTAATTTTTTTTTTTTTTTATAAACGAAATCACTTAAATATAAATAATTGTTCGGTTTTATTGTTTTTCATTAAAATTTTATTTTTTATTAATATTTTTCAAAAATTTAAATTAAATTAAAATGAAAAATATTATATAAGAAGAAATTTGAAGAACAATTTTATCCGACCAATATTATTTTATTTCACTTAAATAATAAGTTAATTAATTAATATGTAATATTATCATTTGAAAAATTATTATTATTATTTCAAATTTAAGTTAAAAGACAATAAAAAGTTTTTTTTTTTTTTTTTTTTTATAAATAACAAATTCTGTACAGCAGCATTGTTGAATTAAAATGTCGATTAAAAATCACAATTTATGCCTTTGTCCGTCCGCCAAACATAATTCTGGACAATCATTCCAGATATTTATCATAACAATTCGGTCTAAAAATAATATATATTGTTAAATACATTTAATTTACATTTAATTTTTTTTTTATTATAATATACTATAAAATAAAAAAAAATAAAAATAAAAACAGTATTTAATTTAATTATTTTCTCTTAAATGAATTTTGACAATTTACTTTTTTTTCTGTTGTTTGTTTATTAAAAAATCAAAAAAAAAAAACATTTATATATTGCAAATATATTATTATTATCATTAATTTTAATATGATTCCAATGAATCAATTTAATAATCCTCCAAATATTTTTTATTTTATTTTTTTCCCAAAAGAAAAAATAATTAATTAATTAAAATTAAATTTATTTTTATTAAAAACCAACGAATCAATTTAAAAACGAGAGAGAGAGAGAGAGAGAAAATTCACATATTTGAAAAATTCACAAAAAAAAAAATTAAAACTCCCGAAATATTATTCTTTTTTTATAAAAAAAAAAAAAATTAGGATATTTTAAAAAATAAAAATAAAATCTTTATAATATATTTTTTCTTTTCTTTTTTTTTTTTTTTTATAATTAACCATTAAGTCCATAATAAATTAATAAAATTGTAACTTTTTAATTTGTAGCAGATTTATTATTTACCACATAAAAATTAACCTTATATAAAAATTTACATAACGCACATTCGATTTATTATTATTATTATTATTATTATTATTTTAATTTCTTAAATTTTTTTTTTTTTTTAATGAAACTATAAAGGCACTGTATTATATACAGCCAAAATTAAAGCAGTATGCATCATATCACATAATGCTTTTCTTTTTTTAAAACCGTGATAATATTTTTATTGAAATATTTATGGTAAAATTATTATTATTATTATTATTATTATCAATCAGAGTAATGAAATGAAGCTATAATTTTGACTGTATTTTTTTTTTTTTTTTTTTACATAGATGTATGTATGCTTCATATAAATTTAAATATATGCTAATTATATGTGTGTGTGTGTGTGTGTATGTGTATGTGTTATATTTTATATAAAAATATCTTTATATATTTACACAGGTACACACAAATACACAGGATACCTAAATACAACGATTGGTTGTCGTTCATTGTTTTAATTTAGTCAAATACATCATATATTAAATTTAAAAAAAAAAAAATTTACTTTTAATATATATATATATATATATATAAATATATATTCCAGTGATAATTCATACGTAATAATGAATTATAATGGAAACTTAAAATAAAATAGATTTGGGAGATCAATATATATATATATATATATATTATTAGGACAAGAATGATGTAAAAAATTAGACAGATCAACAACAACACTGCATATACAAATTGTGTACTCTTAATTTCATGACTATTACCATGCCTTCGAATCAAACCATGTCTCATTCACTCAACAGTACTATTATTACTTTTTTTTATATGATCATCTTCTTTGTCACTCGCATCTAATTTTCTTTTTTTGCTTCGTGGCGTGGATTCTAAAAAATTCAATTTTTTAAATTATTAATAATAATAAAATCCAACAAACTCGACATGTTATTACTCGACATATCATTTTTATTTACATTAATTCTGCTTACTTTAAAAAAACTGCACATTTTTTTTTTTCATACAACTGGGAACTGTTGTGTGAACATTATGATCAGAAACGGGGAACTACATTTAAAAGATAAAAACCAAAAGCTGCACATTGCTAAAATTCACTTTTAACAATATTCAGCTTTCATCGAGAGCTTACCTTCTTCTCCATCTTCTTCCTCTTCATCGTCTACATCTTCATCATCTTCATCTTCATCCTCTTCTTCTTCTCCTTCATATTCCTCGCTGTCATCCTGAAAATTTATAATTTAATTGTCATTTATTGTGATAATAATAATAATCAAATTAAACAAACATTTTATTCGAAAATGTGGGGATAAATTTTTAGCGATAAAATTTTTTTTACCTCAAGATTATCTTTATATACAGCTTCTAAACCATCTTCTTCTTCATCTTCCCATTCTTCATCACTTTCTGCTTCTTTATCTTCTGTATCATATCTTAAAAAATGTTTAAAAAACTAATGTAATAAAGTACTGAATAATGATACTAAACATTTAGTAATAATACATGATATTAATTTTAAAATAATTATTTAACTAGTAAATACAACAAGTTAATATGGCTGCAACTTACCCATCCAAATATTTTAAATTGGGTATTAAATTAAAAACTTTTTCTCTGTAATTTTCAATATTAGTTGTATCATTATTAAAAAGGTCAAGATTCCTTAAATTTTTAAGTTCCTTTAATGGTTCCAGTGTTTCCAAATCTTTAATTTTATTGCCAGATAAATTTAAATGTGTTATTTTCGGCGATGTGTGAAGAAGATTTAAACCATTTGAAATCCTGTTATCTGATAATTCCAACTACAAACAAAAAAAATTTTGAATTTTTTTTTTTTTTTCGTTTTAAAATTTAGAAAAATCTAAAATATATATATATATATATATAAAATAAAATTTTACTCTTTTGAGATTAGGAAGTTTTGGAAACCCTTTAAGACTTGTAAGGCCAACATTAATCAAGCTAAGACACTCTAAATTCACAAATTCATCTGTAAGACCTATAATGCTAGTGCTTCGACAATTATCTAAATTCAGTTCTCTGATCTGAAAAAAAAAAAAAAAAAAATTAACCTTTAAAACAAGTATTTGAAACAAAAAAAAAAAATTAACATTATTTACATTTATGCCATAATTTTTTAAAAGAATAACTTATAATAAACGTTAAATTTTAATTAAATTTAATTTTAAAAAATAAACATTAATTTTTGTTATTTTTTTTTACAATAGTTTAATACTCCACACTACTACTACTACTACTACTACTACTACTACCAAACAGATGCTCAACAATTGAAATTATATTTAAATAAAAATAATTTAAATTTTTTGAATAATTTGAATAAAAAAAAAAAAAAAAAAAAGATAAAATTCTCAATATTTAAACAAATAATGAGGAAACGTATATACATAATTTTTTATGAGGTCGCTATATCAACGACACGTCTGAAAAGCCATGTGTTCTTGGGACGTAATATGCAAAAACAATAATTTTTATTTTTATTTTAAATGAATAAACTTTATTAAATAATTTTATTTTGATATAATTTATTGAATAATTATTTTCATATCGAATTGATTATCTGTAAATAATTTTCGGATGCTAGCAACTTTATGACATTGCATCTATAACTCAAACGTGCAAAAAAAACTTATATAAAAAAAATTAATACGTATATTGATGTAACAAATTAAAGCGGCAAATAATGATTTACATCTAAGAAATATTTTCAATTAAAATATAACTCGATTAAAATTAATTAAAGAGTAAGAAATTGAAAACAAAAGGAAGCGTCAAAAACGAACTGCAGTTTGCTTTTTCCACATTTCTGATAAATATATAATGAAATTACTGCCACCTAGGTATTTGAAAATAAAAAATAACAATTTACTTGATCCGGAGCTTTTCCGCGTTTTTCTAGCTCTATCCTTTTCTCCATTTTTCACTATTTTCAGCACTCCCTTGTCAAAATATCAAAATTAAACATTCACGAACAAACAACCTTGCAAATTCGATGGAGAATGGTAGAGGATGGAAGACGACAGTCTCGACAACAAGTACGAGTCAATAAGCATGTAGAGGGGTCTCAATAATAACAAACTCTTATTGGCGCTTATTTAAATAAACCAATCAAAAATCGTTATTCTTTTATGACGTCAAAATCGAACATAATGCGTGAATTTTACTTGTTGGAATTTTTTTTTTTTTAAAAAAAAAATATTTTATTTTATTTTTTTATTAATAAATTAACGCAATTCAACAAATATAAAATAAAATAATAAATTAATATCACATGTTATTAAAAATACGTGGGTAAAAAATTTTAATTTTCTCTTTTCTTTTTTCGATCATGAGCAAAATTTTTTTGCTTCGAATAATATATGAAGACAGTACCAATCACCATCTTTGATTTTGATTTCGCGGGTTTTTTTAAAATTTGTTTCGTAATGTAAATAAGGCAATCCGGGCGCGTAAATTTATGTATCTCATAT